GTACGTTACAGGTATTGTTAAAAGTACCTTATCAACAACAAATACTTCTTCGCTCCAGTTCGGAGTAAATCCTTTTGCAAATACCTTTTTATCAAAGAAATTCTAACTTTATCACCAACCTTAAATTTATGTCTGCGGTACATGTTTTCATTTGCTAATATCGGATTTTTAATAGCATTATTAGGTGACATTTTGATGGTTCGGTGTTTCGTGTTATTATATTCGCCTACGATTCGAGAAAGTTCATCGATGTACTTGTAGGTGTTTTAAGCTGTCATATGTTTGTGTATTTTTCGTTTAGCGTGCGATTAAATCTCTCGACAACAACGCTTTTACCTTCGTTCCCTGTAACATATTTTTTATATTATGTTCTAGAAACTGCTCAAACGTTTTGTTAAAAAACTCGGCTCCGTGATCAGTCCAGATTTTATTTGGTTTTCTTTCTGTACTCGTTATTTGTTCTAGCGCATCAGTCATTGAAGTCCATGTCTTATCCGAAACAGGTACACTAAAAGCGTATTTACTAAAAACGTCTATAACGTTAAACAAATACTTTTCAGGAGCGCCATTAACGCCAAAGTTAAACTGAGCCAGATTGGATACATCCACCAAATCTATTGCCCAGATATCATCTACGGCATTAGCAACAACTCTACCACTCGGAAACTTTTTTTTTAGGTCTATGTAGTTCGACTGCAAGATCATCATATACTTTTGTCCAAGTCCTAATTTATATTTTGCTCCAATCATTCCCTGAACAAATCTATCAAAACGTTCTCGTAGATTTGTTGGCTCCATATCACGTAATTCGTCTAACATTACTTTATCACAATCTGCTTTCGAGTTTTCATGATCACGATAACAGATATCATGACGCATCGCTATTGCATCCACTTGATTGTATGGCTCTTGTCCTGGCAATGGATTGTCGTTTTCATCTAGTTGTTCTAGTGGATTAAAAGGTCCTGTATACCGATAACCTGGTAAAGTCTAACCGCCTTTTGGTTTTGGTAATTTTCCAATAATTGAGTGTATATCTATACCTGTACCTATTATTTCTCTGTTGTTAAAACATTGACAGCATGCGACAATTTTATTTTGCTCAAGACACAAATCTGTCAGAATCACAGTTGCATATCATTCTATATTTTTAGTCGTCTACTAAAATAATATCAGGATAACCAGATCCTATCAACACTGTCGCTGGGGACACTGTCACTGGAAACGTTTTCTTTAAAAACATATTTTTTCTTTTCCACAGATTGCACACAAACTTTTTAATTTAATCCTGTTGTTTTTTGTTTTTTTCTGTTGTTTCATTAATATTTTCTGTTTTAGTTCTACACTTGAGACAAAATGTTGACATTATTATATTTGTAAGTGTTAGATTTATCAAAGTGGCTGATGTACGATTTTCATTATAATTTTGCTAAAATTCAATGGTCGGCAAGTATATTATTGTTTACTGATACTGATTCACTCGTATATGAAATCGAATGCGAGGACATCTATTAGGACATGTACGATAATCGACATCTGTTTGATCTTTCCAATTACCCACGTGACAGTAAATTTCATGACGACACAAATAAAAAGGTGTTTGGTAAGTTTAAAGATGAAATCAACTCGATCGCTATCAAATACTTTATCGGATTACGCAGAAAAATGTATGCCGTATTGTTAGACAATAATAAAATAACAAAAAAAAAAAAAAAACAACAAAAGGTCTGCCTCGTGATTTTGTTAAAAAGTTTATGAAATTTGATGACTACAAGTACGCGCTTGATGGCGGTGTTAGTTTTATGAGAGCTATGGCAATTCGGACTAATCATCATAAGCTTGAAACAGATGTCATTATCAAAAGTGGATTGTGTAATTTTGATGACAAACGTTATTGCGAAAATGGGGTAGATACACTTGCCCTTGGGTATTGTCATGATGACTAAAATTTTATCTAAACTTATAAAATAATGTTTGAAAATTTGACAATGATAAATAGCTACAGTAGTAAAATCAAATATCTAATGATGGACGGCAAACAATTGACAGTTGAATTTAATAATGAAACATCAGGTACATGTTTTAGTGGAACACGTGACAAGCTAAAACTTTTACGCATCAGATCTGATAACAGCGAGTATTTCAATTATCTCGAACAATTGTATTAAAAGTTGCTAGCGGAATTTAAAAACTGTCATAGTCCGATTAGCCAACAAAAATATACTAAACTCACAATTGATCTCGATCGGTCAAAGGTATATTTAATCGACAAAAAATATCTTCTAAACAAACCACAAATAAAAGATTTGTTTGAGTCCCGTCGCTGTGTGAGCGATAAAGTAAAATTTAGTCTCTACAATCGTGATAATAAAGTATTTTTAATATCAACAGTTGAAACATTAATCATTGGTAATGAGGTATAAAATAATATCACTTACCTTTCTCACTCTGTAAGTTCCGCTTGATTTTCCGTCTGTCGGCTCTACTGTGTAATTAAGAATCTATAGGTCTTTTATACACGGGCGATCACGTGTGAATATTATGAGATTTCATTGGTCCACAACCTCTGTATGACGCGAGCTTACCTGGATGATTCACCTGCACCTGTTGTTTTGTAACATAACAAAAACACCTGCCTGCCCCTGTTGTTTTGTGAAATCAAAATAGGCTATCACCTCGGAACTTCTGTAAGTTTACCTGGATACTCTACCTGGATTCACTAACACTGTAATAAGAGGGGAGTGAGCTAAAAACCTTACTAATACTTTTGTAAAAAAAAAAAGGGTGGGGGATAGTTTAGGATATAGTTTGTATTTGTTTGGAGGGGCAAAATAGGGGATGAGCTGAAAACCTTGTTTTTCTGTACTACTCTACTTGATCAGATCCGGTCTTACCTACGAGGAGTAAAATATAATATGGATGATTTAATACGTGAATTTCGCATTATTGGAAATATGTTAACAGACATTCTACCAATGAGTTTTAGCAAGTATGAAAAAAATTATCAAAAAAATATGAGTAACGTAAAATTTTATCTAACTTAAGATATAATATCACTTACCTTTATCATTTTTGTTCTAATACGTAGTTTAATTTCCGCCCTGTACATGTTAACTGAAATCGCCACGCTCTAATGCGCAGTTTAATTTCCGCCCTGCACATGTTATCTGATGAAAAGCTCGCGGCAGACTGATAATAAAACCCGTCTTGTTGTCTTTGCGTGAAATACATGTTGTTGCGTGAAATACATGACAGGGTACATAGGGTATCACCTGTTGTGGTATAATGACGGAGTTTGTGTTAACTTACCTGGATATCGATCACGTCTCTACCTGGATTCACTAACACTGTAATAACAGAGAGAAGGGGTGAACTAAAAGCCTTACTAATACTTTTGTAAAAAAGGGGTGGTGGTATAGTTTAGGATATAGTTTGTATTTGTTTGAAGGGGTAAAAATAGGGGGTGAGCTGAAAACCTTGTTTCCTTATACTACTATGACTGCAACGACATCTGTTTTGACATCTGCAGGGAATTCTTATGGGGTGTCGCCAGAGATTGTTGCGGCATCAAATGTGGTGAGACATGCGCTGGTTAAAATTTCATGTTCTCTGTCTGTCTGTCTGTCTCTTTCTCTCTCTCTCTCTCTCCGAAAAATCTAGATACACCTGAATTCATTTTTGAAGTCGGGTTAGAAAACGTTATCAGCAAGTTTTATGTTCTGAAATGCCAATTTACCAGAAAATAGTGTTAATTTGAAAGCATGCATGAAGATATTCAGCAGAACATTTCTTAAGTACAGAATTATAAGAATTAAGAATTGCAGACAAGGCATGATCGTGATCACCTTTATTTCTTTATCTTATTTTTCCCGGTATTCGTATTTTTCATCATCTTTGTCTTCTTAGTTGTAATCATAATCATTCTTTTCACAGGTGCTTCTAGAGCAGTGAACATGACTAAATCTTAAAGCTAAATTATACATAAAGCACAATTTAAATTAACGCAAAAGCTACCTGCTCCCCACGCATTTCATTGTTATCATTGTATCTTCGCGTTATTGCTGATTACTTCGAACTGTTTCTAAGATTTTCAATCCCTTTATCAAACACATCATTATTTATAAATTTTAAGCATTTTTTTAAAGTAACTGTTACATTCGGTCGTAAATATAATTTTGTTCTTTGTGATTATAGCCACCTTTCTTGATCATATAAAACCTACATTTTTATAAGTTTTAATCCTAATTTAACGTGCAACTTCAAATAAGGATAGTGGATAACATAGCTCTCGATTTTATAATCCCCGCAATAATTTAGCTATTGAAGATTTTGTTTCATTATTATTATCTATCAATATCTTTCGTAAGAAGTTAAATCCAGTAAGATTTAGTTTGTCTGGTGTTAGAAGACATTCATTAAGATAGTCATGCAAATGCGCTGATACTTCAAAATTTACTTTTAGAATTCCTCAAAAGATTTCAACTTATTTCCAATACATTAAATTGCTTTTATTACTTGTTACTCGCTTTCCATGGAATGTTTTTAACATGCATTGGTTGTCCCATAGCCTAACCATGAAGCTTGTCGCTGATTAGCAATAATACGATTTAAGAAGAGATGAATCGGCATCGCATTATGATAATATTGTGATTCGATTCAGCATAACTATGCGATACTATTCCACTTCCACCTCTAATATCGATTAAATCATGAGAAACATATATCAGATATCAGCTCAAGTTTGATTCGAGTGAATTTGTAAACTATCCTCATGTGATAAGATTAATTGTTCCGAGATAGTTTGTAGGATCCAGAGTATAATTCTGCCTACATACATTTTTGTACTCTTCAAATATACTACATAAGTATCTTTCTTCACATGATAGTTGTGAAGATCTAAAGATTTTCAAGTGTTTCATCTCAGCGTTTACTTATTGATAATCAATTTCACTAATTTCACAACCTGATAAATTCGAGCAAAAAATTATAGATAGAAATATGACCGCTCCGGTGGCCTAGTGGTAAAGCGTCCGCCTTGGATGCGGGATGTCGCGGATGCAAACCCCGGCTACGTCATACCAAAGACTTTTAAAAAATGGTACGAATAGATGCCTCTCTTGGCGCTCAGCAATAAGAGGTTAGTGTTAGGACTGGTCGGCCTGGTTTCGGGATAATGTGACTGGGTGGGACATCATGCTACATGACTGTGACATGTTGCTCCAATGCTAGTCATTACTATAAACTGCCACACTGCCGACAACGTAGTGATATGACTGAAAAATTGTTAAAGCTACGTTAAAAATCCAAATCTCTCTCTCTCTCTCTCTCTCTCTCTCTCTCTCTCTCTCTCTCTCTCTCTCTCTCTCTCTCTCTCTCACACACACACACACACACACACACACACACACACACACACACACACACACACACACTTGTGTGCCCTTGTTACGTACCAACATAGGCCGTTATGGCGTTCCAACACCTTGCTGTAACTGGATTTAATAGGTGCAGGTCTGTTGTGTGAGAGGCTCCGAGTGGTCTAAAGCGCTCTCCGTTACTGATTACTGCCATCTCACCTCTGTCTGCGTGGGTTCGAGTCTAAACTTCGGCAAATGTGGATATGTGAGAAAGCTTGCGAGTAGCTTCTCGTGGGTCGGTGGTTCTTTCCGCGGATTTCTTGGTTTCTTCCTCTACCATTAATACTTGCTGCTATGTATCATGTGCTAAAAGATGGCATTTTTGTGTGATGTATAAATGATGTATCATTTACGCTAGTCAGATACACAAAAGTTAGTTTTCTATATTAATCTAGTCTTAGTATCTACTTCGTTTGTCCTCGACGCTTTACTGGTTTTATCTGTATTGGCCGTCATGTGGCCTTTCCTACAGGTAACATTATCTCTACTTGACATTATAGCATCCACTTCGCTTTGTAAGGCTCAATAATGACTCCTCAGTGTATTATTATACACGTGTATTGCATGTTCCACCATGACCAGAATCTACCATATACCTCTAATCGCAATAGACCACGACCACAATCTATCATACAGTATTAAAGACAAAAACGAGTTTTGTCCAAATTTGTATGACTTGCATTGTACCGCAAGGCACTTCCGCGTACGATGCCCAGCTAAGTGATCCGGTATCAAAGACCTAATTTATACAGGCTCACTCAGTGAACAGTCTATCTTGCATAGTGCCTATGGCATTATTCCTGCATACCATGTCCAGCCTGGTGTCTAAGTATGCAAGAGATGTCGCTTCATTTGTCTTTATAAAATTGATCTTCATCGGTAGCCTATACCTAGGGACAGTTGGGATGTCATCTTATCTAATTTGTACCGAAAGTGTAGTGAGCCAACATTTGAAACATTCTTCTCCAGCACAAGAGACTTGAATACCTTCATCCAAAGACGATGAAAACATGCTCTTAAGTCCCGTAGCCGTTATTAGATCTTGCTGTGACGTGTGAAGAATTAGCTTCACGGGCATGGATATAAATTTCCACCTACTGTCATCAAAGGTCTGTCCTCTTTCCTCCCTACCTCGGCTGCCTTGTCTACAGTCCCAGGATTTCTTGTATATTGACGAAAGAAAAAAAAAATCACGTCCACAGTCGAACGCTGTTAGCGTAGTGGTTAGAGACCTTCATGGATACGGAATGTCGCTGATTCTAACCCGCTGATTCTAACCCCGTCCGAGTCATACCAAAGACTTTTAAAAAATGGTCCTAACAACTGCCCTGCAAGGAGCTGAGCATTAAGAGGTTAGTGTTAGGCCTGGTCGTCTGGGTGTGACATGCACCATGTCTACGGCATGATGACCCAGTGCTAGACATCGCTATAAACTGCCACACTTCAGATATCGCAGCGATATGACTTAAAAAGTTGTTAAAGTTACGTTAAAATATCCAAATCACACACACACGCACACAGTCTGGCAGAGGTAATGACAGTTTAGGCTGCTTACGTGGACAGTTACAAAGGACCTGTTCTCAACAAGGTAGAATGCCAAAACCCAACCTTTGTCTCACCAGTCCCGAATCAAAATGTATGTGCAGTCGGTGTTCATTTATCAATTGGAACTGCCTTGACGATTATTCGTACTCTCCAACACCACTGGTTGTGATTCAGATGACAAGAAACTTGAGTGTCGCCTAATTCTGTTTGTTCCACTCATATGGGAATAAAAATCATTGATCAACAAATTCATCAATATCGATAAAGAATCTTCAGGAAAAATCAAGACGTTGCACATCTTATCATACAACGAGGATGAGTTTTTTTTTAATCCATCCCTGAAGCTGCACGTCTGAATGTTATTAAACAAGCACTTGAGAACGAACATTTATTACAATCAGTGGTCGAGAAATCGCTCAAGCGGGACGACCGTCCGCTTCAGGGATGTACGAAGGCAAATGGAAAATCTTTACACATTAGTGTGCACGGAAAGAAATTAAACCACTACAGACATCAAATACCTCATTAGCTAGCTTCCTAATATGGCATTTTGACTAGAATCACTGGCATCTACGTCATCATTGAAGAGAGGATGTCGGATAAAACAAGTAGGTTGTTATGTTTGTTGCCGTAAGGTGGCTGGTTTTTGCAATATCAACACAATATTGGCTATATAGTAGTGCCTGTTAAAAGTTCGAAAATAGGTGAGAGCTCAAACATCTAACAAAAATCAGATTTCTTGTCAAGTCTGAACATTAAAAATTTTAAAATTTAGACTTGGGAGCAGAAATATAAATTTACTATTATCAATTCGTATATGTCAGCATTATATAGTTTAATTTTGGGGATCGCTCCGGTGGCCGAGAGGTTAGCGCGTTCAAACCCCATCCGAGTCATTCCAAATATTTATAAAATTGGTACTAACAGATGATTCGCTAGGCACTCAGCGTTAAGATGTTAGTGTAGGACTGGTCGACCTGGTGTCAGGATAATATGACTGGGTATGACATCATGCTCCATGTCTGCGACATGATGCCCCAGTTCTAGACATCACTGTAAATTGCCACACTACAGAAATCGCAGCGATATGACTGAAACATTTATGAAAATCTAAATATCACACATACGCACACTTACTTTTGGGCAATGGAAAAGACTCGTCCGAGATGCCTCCTGTTCTAGAATTTTTTTTTTACAACGAGATATCGCTATGACGACTCCTCCATTTCGTTTATTATTGGTTGTAGGAATATGTATAACTACTAAGGACCGCTCCTGTGGCCTTATGCTTAGAGCGTCCTCCGCGGATTTTGGAGGTCGCCGGTAGGAACCCGGCCGAGTCATACGAAAGACTTATAAAATGGTACTCTCAGCTCCCTTCTTGGCGCTCAGTGCTAGGGCCGGGGGGTCTTGTATCAGGATAATGTGACTGGGTGGGACATGATGCTATATGCCTACGGCATGATGCTTCGGTGCTAGACATCACTATAAAACTGCCACACTGAGGACATCGTAACGATGTTACTCAAATTGTTAAAGCTAAAATTAAAGTTCAAAGAGCGCGCGCGCGCACACACACACACTCCTCTTTGCAGGTTATTACTCACTAAGATTCCCATATTTCTAGTAAGAATAATATTCTTGTAGACAGTTTTTCCAGGAAAACTAAGTAGTCATTACGGAATAGTGTTAACATCAAATAGTATCAAAGACCCTGTTAGGTCTGGAAGGGAAAGCCACTGGTGGACATCTTTGGAATGAAACTGATCAAGTTAACCTTTTATGCTTCTCAAGGAACATCAGTGCCTGGGCATTGGACACTTTCAGCTTGAGTTGAGATCTGTTGGTCCCGTACATTTTCCCATCCTTCAGATTTAATCTGCAGGTTCTCCAAAGTATCAATGCTTTCTAGACCTGTTTATAGACCAACCCAGGTTGTTACCGCACAGGGGTTCGCTTCTTTACAACAGCCCTTTGTTTTTCCATATTCATGCTTGGCTCACCAGACAAAGTTTTCGAGCAAACGTGCCGAATGCATCGTTCAGGCCAGGCGAGGTTCCACTGTCAATGATGCAGAGCGGAACTGCGATTCATGCGTTAATCATAGCTTTACATCTCACAATACATTAGCGGACTTCATACTGTTTTTGTCAAAAGAGCATCATCAGTCTCCACATGGAAAGGTTATTTTGCAGCCCTTTCAAACAAGCTCAGCTTTTCCAAAGGTCACTTATACTGAAGTGGAACCTCTCTGTTGTTCAGTGGACGTTATCCAACGGCCTCCCTACCCCCACCCTCTGACGAAACACGGAGTCAAGTATCATTTGGAATTCTTATATTTAACTTGCCTTTCTGCTCAACGTAACTACTGCGAAAAGGAGCAAGCTCCATGACCTCTCCATACAGAAGAGTTACAGTCCAGTGGTCATTACAAGTCTCTAACTCTATATCAACAAATACTTTCATCTCCCATATATATTCCGCGTCTGAGTCGTATCTGCTTCAGACATCATCAAAGTACATGTACATTGCTTTACCAAGGAGGGCACTTAGGTTTTATCTGCACCATTACGCACGCATACTATCAAGAACGTGTATAGATGCCACACCAACATGGATCTTTCTTTCATGAGAATCAAAGCCCATGAAATTTGGACCATTGCTACAGCAAGGTGTTTATTTAAATTACTCAAAATTAAAAAGTATTACCTTTGTTCCCAAGCGAACTAAAGCAAAGGTATTTTGCCCTGTAGCCATACGTGTGTGTACGATAACTATAAGAGGTGTCACATATAAAACTCCAATCAAACGCAGAAGTGCATTTCTAGTTTATCTCACTATAGACGCAGTGACAGATTCAGCTGTATATCACCTTTCTTCCGTTTGAGAACATGGATTGTCTGATCATTATAACTGAAAGTTCAATTACTACAACAACGTAATTCTTAGAGATCTTTTATCCTGTCATGTAATCGTTGCATACCTTTTCTTCCAGAATGTATGGTAGTTAAGATGGGGTTTTGACGTCTTTGATCATCGCTCACTGATAAATTACAGATCCAAATAGATTTAATTTATTAGAATAATCTGTCTCTACAGTTTCTTTCATTTGTA